AGAACATCGCAAATTCATGCATTCCTATTTCTTCTTTTTCAGACGACCCATCCAGTCTGGGCTTCTGTGGCGAGATGGTGGAATCCTTCATGCAGCGTACTACGACGGTTTTGTCCGCGTCGGCATTATCGTCGAAGAGTACGATGACATGCTTCTTGTCCAGGCGAGGATTTAAACTTACCTATAATACATAAGCAAGGTCTATATGAACGCTTTTAGCGTCTATCAGTTTCAAAAAATAACGTGAATCAATTGCTGGACGTAATTTTCTCTGAAATCAAACGCCTTTCGGACTATGAAGACGCCGAAAGGGATAAGCGTACGAGTATGGTGGAGAAAATGAAAACTATCAAGGCAAAGGTAAGATATCCACTAAATCTACCTAAATCTATCGTCCGTTTACTATTTCCCTATTTCTGTCTTTACAAACTTATTATAAGCACTGCGTTTCTTACGTTTAAAGCGATTTTCAAATTCTAATGAATTTCTTATAATCTGACGTGGAAGAGTTCGCATCTGAGGTCCTGAATCCAGAAGTACTTCTGAAGGGTGTCTTCATGTTAAGTGAACTCATCAGCTATCAAGTTTAACTTTTTAGATTGGATGAGTGTTCCTCTGTGATTTGGAGAGCGATGTCTGGTAAAAAATAATTGTAAAACTGGTCTTGGTAGCAATTTTCCTCATAAATTATTCGTGATGTATCATTCCACCCTCAAAATTGGACTTGAAAAAGAAGCACGCTTAAAGGCGTTGTCACAGACTGGTAGGACTTATCAAGGAAGTTTCGTATTCTTTTCAATACACATGCATGAAACGTCTTGTAATTAATGGTCTGAATTTACAGAAACATCTTCTAATTCAAGAATGTAACAGTTGGAATGTTCGATGTTCAATAAATCTCGGCATATTGAATATGTTATTGATATATTTCCTTAGCCACGCACGAGATTGTTAAAAGATTTATTGGCTGACGTTTCGGTGGGATCGCCTTCTTCAGAGCCTAAAATGAGTGAAAACGAAATGCAATTTACCCGATCAAACATCTTTTCAACCCTACAGACGAAATTTTCAATTCACTGTTGGGTCACTGATACTGCTGACTAAATACTCACCCCTTGATTATGTCGTCTTTGGTGAAAGAAAACGACGCTCACTGACTAAGTAGACAAACCACTGATGGAACTTTCGCTAGGTCAGAAGAGCTGACCCAAATAAGGAAGGAGTTCGCGCGTAATTGAGAGACATTCCTCTTTGCGATTCATTTTGGGGACTTTTTCGTGAATCCAAAATGCCT